AGACTTATTAGTGTTATTAATGCTAGGCATAATGGGTTTGAGCCTAGTAACTAATATTTTAGAAATCATTTTGTAGACGGTGTTGCATAAAGATGTAGGTCTAAAGTTAGAAAGGTTATTGGCTTAATTAGTTTTGGATATTAAGGCTAATAGCACACCTAGGAAGATAACCTTTGATAAATAAGGATTTAACAACCTTACAATCCAAAGGGCCAACAACATGCCACCTAGTCTTATAGAAATCAAAGTTGAAATCATCAGGGTCTGGGTGTTAAGGTTTTAAAAATGCCGAATTATAGAGTGAATCACTTCATTTTGACTATAGGAAGACCCATCCGAAGAAGCTGTCAATGAAATCTTATTATAATTACGCCTCATATGGATTTTAGCATGCAAAAACTTGAGATCGTCTTCCCCATGAGTAAGCCATTTAGTTTTGGATCTTTGAATGATCTAAGAAGGCCAAGTTGAGATGCATTTAGCAATTTGGCAATTAATCTTTTTGAGATTGACATTTAATTTTGCATTTCGAGGATCAATATCTAATTTCATAAGGCAAGTATTTTACTGGTCTTGAAGATCAGATATAGAGCTAGCAATAGAGTTAGAGCTAGTCCAGGTCTTGGTTTTAATAAGATATTTGAGCCTTTGAAGCTTATGGTAAAGATTAACAATGGGTTTTCCTTGTGAATGCTGAGCAAATGCAATAGTAAGAGTATCCCAATACCTTGCATTTTTAGCCCAATAGTTTTTATATAGGAACTTGTGACTATTTCTAGAAGTGTTATATGATTGCAATGAGATAGGACAGTGATCAGAGCAAGTGGAGTTCATAACTTTATAATAAGAACAAGGAAAATATTCCATCCATGCATCATTGCCCAATGCTCGATCAAGTTTAAAATGAATGTGATAGTCAACTCTTTGATTGAACCAAGTGAAAAAATTACCAATTGAGGCTAGATTCTTTATGTTAGCATCAAAGATGAGGAAATTGAAGCCCCAAAGCCTACTATTATGCAAAGCATTGTCACTAGCTTTTTCTTATTGAAACCTGCAGCAATTGAAATCCCTCAGGATAATCCAAGATTATTAAAACCCCTATTATTATAGGCAACAATAGAGGGAACGGTCATTGGACTTTCTTTGAGGAGTTGAGGGGATTTTTAAATTTAGGAAGGGCGGCGTTGTGAGGGTTTTTTCCTAGGCTAAGACAACGAGAAAACCCTAATAGAACTAAAGAGTTTTAAAAAATGTGATGACATAATATTTAAACATCACAATTCAAAGGATCATCCAAGAGTATTGAATCTAAACTGTTTTTGGGGGCAATATGACTAAATTTAAATTTTATCATAGTTATGACATTATGACATGATAGTTAATGTGACATCAATTTAAATATAAATTTATTTTGGAATATAGCACTCCTAAATGCTTAAGTCCTCTTGCTGTTAGGTAGACATTATTCTTTTAGCACTAAAAGTTAAAAAAATAATTGAGAAAGAATAATTGGCCATTATTAATATCTTTCTTTAATTTATCCTTCTTTAGTAGTATGTAATAAAATGTTTTATGTGTGAGACTCTATTAACTTTGTTTTTTTACGTCCATCGCTTTCAAAATTATTGGGATACTAGTGGGAAGTCACAATGAGATTTTGGTGGAAACAGAGAGGTGTGGAAGTCCCAACGATAAAAGTATATCTATGAGATTTATAGGTGCACAAAGGACGAAGAGGTGGAGCAGTGATGTATGATTCAAAGCACATCGAAATTATTCTGTGCAAAGATCGCACACGGAACGTTATCAAAAGACCAATCAGAATACGCCATGTCAGCAATATCAAGCCGTGGTACCGAGGAGTACCGAGTCGTGGAACCGAGCACAGAATAATTAATCCATCGAGTGGCATGTGAAAGAAAAATTGGGATTTAATGACAATGTTATTTAAAATTTTGATTATCATAAGAATAAATAATAACTTATAGATATTAAATATGTAAATATGATATTTTTTAGTATAAATTGAATATTCTGATTAATTTTATATTTATATAAGAAAAAAAACTGTCATAAAAAATATTTTAGGATTTTAGAGGGCTTTAAAATATTTATATATATATATATATATATAAATATACTAAAGATGATGCGAACTGAGTTATCCTTTTGTCAGCACTCAAGGTAATGTCAAAGAAACTTATCTATTAGGCTAATATATTCTATATCATCGTGTGAGATTTTTGCTATGGAACAAAGTAAAATCATGTTTATTTTTTGGGTCATAGATCGACTCGAATTTAACCTGTTTACAAGCTTAAGGACAATCATGGAGACAAACCGAACACAGGTAAAAAGATTTCGTTGGAGACCCAAAAATTTATTTCAAGCCAAGCGGATGGATTAAAAGCTACGGTGCTAATGAAAATTTCATTTTTGACCTAAAGTTAGGGGTGTCAAAACGGGTTGATCGGTCGGGTTTGGGTTCAATCCGAGTTGACCCTAATTGGAACTGGCTTTGCAAGCGGTTCATGATTGTCAAATTGGACCCGACCCGTGCAGGTCACGGTGGACGGGACGTAGTCGACGGCACGGCGGCAGCAATATGCCAGCGTTATTTTCGACTTTCCAGTCCGGTATTTTGGACTTAAAAAACGGAAGACACGGTGACACGACGACATCGACGAGATGAGATCACGTGCGATGTTCCCGGGTCAACCTAGGTTGATTTTGAGTTTTTGGATCAACTTGTATCCGACTTGGTTTTACAAACGGGTCAGAATCCCGAATCCGAACTCGACCTGTTTCTCAAATAGGTTGATCCTAACCCAAAATTTTCTCGTCAGATTTTCAAGTCGAGTTTTTTGGGGCTGGTCAAATATTGACACCCATTCCTAAAGTTTTTTTTTTTTTTTCTT